CTCTCTCTCTCTCTCTCTCTCTCTCTCTCTCTTACGCCCGCACGTGTGCGCCTTCGACATTCTCTCTCTTGCACCCACCATCCACGTTCTCTCTCTCGCGCCATCCATTTACTTTCCCTCTTTCTCTCTCACACACACAAACACTTTTATACGAGGGATGGCACTCTGTGCCATCAGGTGGTCGGTATCCCTATGGGCACTAACGCTGGACCAGAAATTGCCAACCTTACGCTTTATTGGGAAGAAGCACCGTTCATCGATGATCTTCGTCAGTGAGATCTGCGTGCTGCGCAAGCATATGCATTCACATATCGATTCATTGATGACATTGAGTGGAAAGACACTACTGAACAAGATGGGTCATGTCTTTTCCTTGGGGCAAGAATCCTGGTTCGGCCTGATGGCTCACTTCGCATTGGCGTATTTGATAAGGCCAAGACCTGGACGTTCCCTGTCATACGTTATCCCAGTGCTTCCTCCAACGCTCCGGCTCATCAGCCTGCAGGTGTGCTCACGGGACAACTAACGAGATTCAAACATATATATGTAACAATACTACCGACTTCAAATCGACAGTGACTTCCTTGACACGACGTATGCTTGTCAGGGGCCATCCTCCTAGTGTCCTGGCTAGAGGCTGGACTGCATATGTGCGTGGCCGACAACGCCGGCTACCAACTCATGTGACACGACTTTCGAACTGGTTTCGCCGAATGGTTCGCTGGGCAATTGCTCACCCACTCCCGAAAGCTGATTCAGTGCGCAGGTCCTCCACCCAACCGCACACAAGAGACCACCGCTCATCGCCTGACACCAATGCAGCTAGCATCAGCCCTCCCCTGTTATCCGTGCTGAAATGGCAGACGCTAATGTCGATACACCAACTCAGCCAGAGATCATGCCAGCCGCAGTAAACAATGTGAACGTTACCGAAATGGCAGTAAGGGATGAAGGCCAGCATCCTACCAATACAACGACTGTTGTTGTTGCTGCTGCTGCTGAAGGTATACCTCCTCCTCTGCCACTGCTGCCACCGCCGCCTCCACCACCACCACCACCCCAGCCACAACCACCACCACCACCACCGCCATCACTGCCATCATTATCAACACCACCACCACCATCATCACCGCCACCCCCACCGACGTCCTCTGTTGCAGTATCCTCTCAGTCATCTGCATCATCTTCTTCTTCCTCTTCCCCTACTTCTTCCGCTACTTCCTCATCATCGACCTCATCATCAACGCACTCATGGTCAGATCGGCCGTCACAAAGGCCCTGTCGGCCGAGGTATCCGTTGTTAGATGGATGGTTACAGATGCCTCTTCGGCGAAGATGTTCCCCGTCTCCACAACAGCCTCCAAGACAGCGGCCTCGTTTGTTGTTGAATGGCATGATCACCGCGCCCCCTGCAGGGGTTAGAGATCTTCTCCGACGACATGCTCGCAACCGTACGGAACGACATCGTCGCTTTCAGTATACACTAGCGAGGAATAGTGCACATCGAGTCCGATGCCTGCAATGTGGCGATGATTTCTTCAGTGCTGCAGGCTTACGAGTGCACCAGACACGAGGTGCAGCTACTTGTGCAGCGTTTGCACGACTAGCAGCCGCCCTGAGCACAAGTGAGGCTGATCAGCTTCCGATTCCCACATCTGGTCCACCCAGCTCTCACCCACCTGACGCACCGCTCTCTCATCCACCTAGCCCCACTCGCTCCCCTACCCCAAATGACAATGGCCCGTCTCCTGATTACCTGACGGAGCCCCCGGTTGAAGATCATCTCTCTCCGGAGCACATACCGGAGCCAATTGGTCAANGTTGAAGATCATCTCTCTCCGGAGCACATACCGGAGCCAATTGGTCAAGACCACAACGAGTCTCCGCCACCTGGGCAACCTGCAGAATCGAACGAGGATCCCCCTGCCGTAAACGGATCCCCCACGCAACCTGCGGAATCAGACAATGTCATAGCGCTACAGCGAGGGTGCTGTGCGTACTATGCCATTAATGTATGTCTCCTTGCTTACAATTGTAATCCTTGTACTGTTGCTGATTTCGCAGACGTTGTTCGCTGGATAGAAGAAGAGCACCGTGCCGTCTGCCCAGAGGATGACAGCGCTGCTCTTGGGGTGAACATAGAAGTCCTGGCTATGGCATTTATGGGTAGGCGACTGCAATTCCAGCCTGCTCCGCAAAACCACGAGCCAGGCATGGATCCGAATATTCGGGCATATAYCTTATATCGTCCAGGTCACTTCAGTGCTCTTACCTTTGCAGATAATTCATGGACCCTATGGGACAATGGCGGTAGGGTGCACACAGTCGGAAATATTAACTCTTTCTATCACCAAATGCTGGAGGGTCACTCAGTCTGGCTCATCCATCAGGAACAGTATGTTGATTAGCATTTGCAACCACTGCACCCCCTGGAGAGCAATCCGGCTGATTCTACCACAAACAGTGAAAGGACCTCTCCACAGGATGATGGCTGTGCCCTCCCATTGTGTCGTCGCACAGGTGCAGTTCGGTTGGCATGTACACGGCATAGCCTCTGCTCCGAACACTATGAAGGGATGGTCGCTGCTAGCCCCTCACACGAAAATTGTGATCCCCAGTCCTGTGCTCATCCCCCCCACCCCCTGATTACTTGCCCAGCATGCAGTTGTGGCCTTGATCTGCCACTGTACACGTCAGCCTTCCATACTAATGACATGTCAGCAACATGCCATGTGTTGTCAATGCTTCCATGTGTTGTCAATGCTTCCAGGAAGCTGTCAATGCTTCCATACTAATGTACACGCAAGCTGTTGCGGATCATATCCTGCAGCTGCTGAATGCCCTTGCGTTGGACCGATCCTCCCTGTCGTCGTCTGCCCATAGAGAAGGAATACATACTGAGGAAGCCCAAGAAAGATGCTCTATGCCGTTTTGTGATGACCCGCCGGAGATTCAACTAGCATGTGGTTCACATGCCTTGTGGCGTGAGGATTATGAAGGTATAGTCCATGCGAGTTTTTGCTTCCATACGTACAATGACAGTCAGTACTGTACTCATGTATGGCACCCCGACATGTCATGTCCAATTTGTAGACAGGGGCTGGAACGGCAATGCCTCTATAATTGCGTTCGACATGCCTCTGTGTTCCTCGCATGTACGAGCGACGTAGCCTGTGACATCTGACTGCGCCGTGCCATTCGATGCAGCAACTGTGACTGCGAAAATTGGATGCGGTGCTTCCATAGCCCACACCCGAACCGGTCCTGTCAGGTCTGT